GTGACTTGTCGAGCTTTCAGTATGATTCCTCCAAAAAGCTATGCTTGGTTGTCAACAATCCTTGCCCTTGTTGGATAGTGTGTTTATCCTGAGCAGTGTATATTGCCCCCTGTACTTGTGCTGCATACATGTGCAATGGAGTCACTTTCATCAGATGAAAGGTTATCGACCTGAAACATTAACTCACTTTCCTCTCTTCATAGATACTGCCTGATCTGCTGAGTATTCCCAGCGACTTTGGTTTTAATTTCAGATTTCCAGTATCTGCAGTATTTTACCTTTTAGTCTGGATCTGTATTGTGTTTGAACGTTGTAAATAGTTGGCTCCTGAAGTTGATTTTTTTTAAACCGACCCTGACTAGAGCCTATCCTAGAATCAGTCCTTAAAACATGGGTTGGGTAAGAACTGTCTCAGCGGTCCACCCACAACAAAAGGCACTCAGAAACCATTCTGGACAGACGTTGAGAATGGTTTCCGAGTCCCTTTTGTTGTGGTTACTCACACATCCTGAAAGGAACATAAAGGCTATACCTTTGGCTGCTAGCCCAAACCAATCTGCTAAGTTTCATGACCTGGGGAGACTGTGGAGCCTAAAGGTTTTATCACACTCGGGTGCCTTTATTTCATTGCTCAGGAGACCACAGGGGTGCAGGAGGAGGGTCCTGTCCTTGTTCCTCACGCAGCATAGTTGGATGAGGAGATTAAGCATGAGCAAAGTGCTTTTCAGAGCAGCAGTGTAAATTAGTAGATGATCCTTGCACCAATTCTCGTGCAAGGCCACGCATTCAGCCACTATAATCCCACCCTCCAGAACTCCCTGTCTCATCTGTTCATCTCACCCCCTAACTTATTGGTCTTCAGAGCCAACTAAAACCCTACCTTCTTCAACAGTTGCTCATGGTCTACCCAAAAATATACCCTCAAACATCTCCCAGCAATTACTGTTGCATGTAGTGTTTTAGGCCAGCGGAGCAGGCGTTTGCACAAGCATTGTCCCACAAGCAGCTAAATGAACAGTTTATATGGTGTAATGTTGGCTAGGACACAGGAGAAACTAACTCCTCTGTTTGAATAGTGTCATGGAAGAAGAGGCAGACAGTTTAACATCTCATCTGAAAAATGACATACAATTGATGACAATTCAATGCTTCCCCACTGGTGCACTGGAATGTCAGCCGTAACTGCGGTCAAGTCCGGACACGGATTTTGACCCCACAATCTTGTGAGCCAGGCATGAGAGCACTAGCGACAGAGTTAAACTTACTAATGTCATTGGCAGCAGTTGCCACAAAACTGCAGAATTTGGTTTTCAGTAGGTTGCAGAGAAGTACAGAAATTACTCATTAGGAATGTTTATTAGACTGCTGGTATTGAGAAGTATTGTATTTGGATCAAGAGGGTTTATTGCCAATTGCGTGTGTTCAGTGGATCGACCATGTCTGGGGTTGTGAAGCAGCACAACTCTTGGAGATACAATAGCTTCCTAATTTCTTCAATTCTATGGAATAGAAAATGGATCACACAAGATGTCCATTCAGGGAGAATTCATAACTGACATTTTTTTCACTGACAGTTCTTTCTGAAGTGGGATTATGTGTGGATGTTTTTGGTCTGTTCTCTTGTAGTGAACTAACTTTCCTTTGAGAGAAGCGACTTAATCCTTTGAATGCTAGATGGAGGCGTAAACGTGTGTAGTAGCTTGCTTTTGTTCGAGGAGATCTGACTTGCCTGTACAGCAGTGGTTTTGTGTCTTGACAGTCAGTTTCTCTTTGTAGTTGCCTGTTTGTCTTATCAACATTTATCTGGATTCTTCCTGACACACGCTAGTGTAATGGACACCAGAAAGTGTTTGGCTAATACTGGGGAACTATTATGCAGGTATTTGGAAACCAGTGAAGTGATCCCATCTTAAACATTGCAAAACACAAAGTGGGCACGAGGCCAGTCTGATCAGAATAAAATTAACCATCATAAAAAAAATCCAGTGAGTGTCCTCCAGAGAAAAGGCTCAGTGATGGGAGTTAAGCGATGAAGTTACAGCCATGACTGAACTCCAAGACCAAATGGGACAAACTCCTGTAATCTCTAGGTTGGAGTTTGATAATTCCTGGTTCAGGAAACTATTACTGCACCAAGACAATGACTGAATGAACTTCTTCCACCAATTGGATAATCCATGTCCTACTCCTGATATTCAGTGACGTAATTTTGTCTAACCCAGAGTTGTGTCTCAAATCTCAAGCCATCAGTGGTCCAAATCTCAATAGATTTTAACTATGAGAACTGTATGGTTTATTAATGTTCTTCATTCTCACATCTTCCCCTGTGAGCCATTTCAATGCAACAAATGTTGAAATACCTTAGAATTTGACATTGCAGTTCTAAACCTTCATTCCCAGTAGCAGTCTTGTGGTAACGTCAGGGAATGTTCTTGACATGAGAGGAAGAATGTTTCTCCTTTAGGATGTGTCAACTCTACAAAAAGGAAGTGAGTGCAAGTGTAAATATAGTGCCGTGCCTTACTAATCTTCATACCCATGTTATGGATAAAGGAGCCAGTTCAGACTATTTGATCTCATCATTATTGAATACTACCCTCCCTGTCGTCCCATTATAGCATCAAATTGTTGACAACTGGGACCGGACCCACTCCGCTGTTTCCATGCTTTCAACATAATTACATTATAATAATATTCCTTGAATTTGATACAGCACCCATCACATCAAAAGTGACTCAAAACGTTTAGAACCACAGAAATGTATAACACGGAAGAATGCCATTCAGCCCATTATGTCTGTGCTGGCTGTTTGAAAGACAATCCACCCAGTCCCATTTACCTCATCCCTCTGCAAATTACTCCTTTGTAGATCCATCTTGTTCTTTCTTGCAAGAAGTCTGCCTTGACTACCATATCCTAAAATTCTCTCTGAAATAAAATCCACCTAATCTCCCCTTTTTCTCCGTTGCTAATGATCTAAAATGAATGCTTAAATAAATGAATCACTTGTTTCATCAACCAATGGAAATAATCGAAATAATTTCAAACACCTAGACCATCTCCTTCAATCTCTCTGTTCCAGTGAAAATAGTTCCTCCAATCTCTGTTTATAGATAAAAAGTTATTATTGAGTTAGTCGATTGGCGGATTGCTTTTCTGGGGTTAATAATCACTTCAAAATAAATAATAAAAAAAATGGTCATTCAATCCACGACTGTATGTGGGACACTGCTGTGTGCAAATGGCTCCTGCGTTTTGCCCAGCAAAAGCGATCCGCCAGTCGACTAACAACCGGGTTCCTATTTACTGGTAGGTAAACATAGAGGCGTGTGGAGTAAGGAAATTTGTTCAACGTTTCGCCCTGCCGGGAATCAAACCCAGGTCCCTCGCTTGAGAGCCTAGTGCTCTAACCACTGAACTATAGGACTCCACGAGGATTATTAACATATTATCATAGGGAAAAGAACTCTTGGTTATATTATTATTCAGTTAATTCAGAACTGGCGTCCGGATACTAACCGGCACAAAACTCGGGACTCCCATCACCCCAGTCCTTGCCAGGCTGCACTCGCTCCGAATTACCAAACGGATCGACTTCAAGATCCTTTCACTCATTTTCAAATCCCTTCATGCCCTTGCACCTCCCTACCTATCCGATTTGCTTACCCCCCTGTTCCACCACCCTCTGCCTCCGCTCGGCCGGCTCCGGCCTCCTGTTCATCCCTTGGCCCCTCCGCTCCACAATCGGTGCCTTCAGTCACTGCCCCTCAGAGCTCTGGAACTCCCTCACTCAAGCTTTCTGCCTTCTCCCTCCCTCCCCACTTTCAAATCCTGCCAAAAGACCTTTTTGATCGTGCTTACAGTCACCTGCCCCCTCCCTCTCCCCCTGGCTCATTGTCAGACTCCACCACTGTCAAGCGTTCTGGGACGCCACCAGGCATGAAGGGCGCTATATAAATGCAAGTTGTTGTTTTAATATCTAGTTTTGGATTGAGTTTAAGCTTCTCCACTGTACACTGATTGACGGATCATCCTTCAAAGCTCTCTTCATACCAGCCACTTCCCATTAAGCGCCATTGTTGACAAAATTGTGCTTCTCTGAGACGCATTGTGTGTCCTCAGTTTTTTTTAAGCAAGATTTTTCTTGAATGAGGCATCAACGTGCTTTGGTGTGAAGAGTCCACCGTTGATGGATGTGCCTATGATCTATGTAGAGTGTTGAGATCTATGGATTCCACCTCTCAACACAACCATTAACTTGTGGCTTGCAAGTCAACATTCATTTTAGTCACCACTGTAATGGTGATGCATGCATAGGTCCATCCAATTGTGGACCGTTTTTTTCCTTGCTATAAACTGCTGCGATACTTTGAGTAATCGTAACCTTTTGCCTACTTCCTTACCTGTAATTTACCCCATTTGCTGTATCAGAAAGTAGTCCCATACAAGGGATTATTGCATTGCAGAGATCCATCTCAATTGTTGATATGTGCCTAAAGTAAGTGTGTGATTCCTTGGCCCTGGGCACTATTTTGTATGACTAGGTCTTCCAGATGTGTCAAAGCGCTTCACAGAATATACTGTAAAGTGAATTGACTATATTTTGTGGGCAAAACACAGCAGCCAATTGCGCACAGCAGCGTTCCATCAACAGTGTGGATTGAGTGACCAAATTGTTATTTTTCTTTTTTAGAAAAAACGTTTTTGGTGGGATTATTATCCCCAGAAAAGCAATCCGCCAATCGACTAACAACCAGGTTTACCTCACAACTAGGTAAACAGAGGCAAGTGGTATAAGGAAACTTGATTAAAGTTTCGCTCTGTCCAGAATCAGATCCAGGTCCTCTCATTTGCGAGGCGAGTGCTCTAACCATTAAGCTACAGGACTCCACATGTTGATTTTATGTGCATTCCATTAGCATTTGATTTCCCCTGTACGTTTGCAGCCCTATGGTAGATGGTATGAAAAGCTAGCATCTTCTATTTTTGTTTTAACCCAGGATACACGGCCCTTTGCTCCAACTCACGGACAAGCTCGTGCCAACACGGTGCTGGAGAGGGTAGAGGGAGCCCAGCAGCGGTGGAAGAAGCAGGTACAGGAGCAGAGGAAGACTGTCTTCGACCGACACAAGATGCTGAGCTAAAGGCTGCGGATTCCCCACCCTGCGTTTCAGGCCGGCTCGCAATACTGGACAAAGATGTTGGTGACAATTTTGAAAAGCAGGACTGCTCACTCCAACTTTATTTTAAACATTGAGCATTTTTCAGACGTTTTGAAGACATGATAAAGCGCTATATCAAATGCAAGTACTATTATTATTAGGGGAAAGTTAGTGCATGGAGCTCTCTACATGCAAAGTACCCTCCCTTTACATACAAGGAATTATTACACTCAGGAGAATTTTATTTGACCATTTTTAAACATCAGAAGTTCATAATTTCTCTAAGTAGCTTCAACCTTAAGACATAGATTATCCTAAAATATAACATTGTGCAGAATTTTGGGAAAATCTTCAGTTCAGTCTGAATTTGGAACCCGGTTTTCTGCAGTGCTTAAACAGTACCAGCTTCCAAACGGATGCTGAGAATTTTGCATGGTCTTTCGCCCACAAAATATACAGTCAATTAACTTTATAGTTTATCCTGTGAAGCGCTTTGAGATGTCCAGAGATGTGATGAAGGGCTATATCAAATGCAAGAATTATTATTATTGTGATCTTAGTTTTGAAGCCATCGTCTCAACACTAGAGACCTGGACAAGATTCAAATCCTAATTTTCCAGGGCGGGTAAGAGAGGGAGGAATGTTCCGGGGGGGGGAAATGATGTGCCAGGGGAGTGCTTGTAATAACCTCAAGGCAGCATTAGACAGGATAGGTAAAACAGGCAGCTAAAACTAACCCACCCCACAATACAAATAAGACAAAACATTCAGGAGCCCGAGCCAAATTGGATAAAACTCCAGCACGAGGAGCACCTGGGGAATACAAGTTGGTGTAAAAACATCCCCGAAATGTAAAAAAACCTAACCCTAACCCGGAGTCTCACTCCCTCTCCCTGGTCATATCATCAGCAGGATGATGTGGAGGAGGAGATAGGTTCCTCTTGGGCCCTGGAAAAGCTCTGACGGAAGCCGTGATGTCAGTCTAGAACCAATCTTAGATTACAATCCTTAGCTCATTCACTTCATTAACATTGGAATACAATGTGTCGCCTCCTTCACTCCAGGCCCCTCAGCCTAGAACCAACCAATTTAAGAAAAGTCGATCAGAATTCTCCTGGGGATATTTTTCCTCTAAAATGAGGAAATACTTTTGAGCACAATGCGTTAAACTTTCATTCCCCTTAAATCAATTGGTGTTTTGTATGGCGTTCCTTCCAAATTCTAATCACCATCACTTGCATTTATACAATGCCTTCATCATGCAAATCAAACATTCTTGAAGCACTCTGCCCCCACCATACCCCATAAACAGTGAGTCAAATGAATATGAATTTTTTTGCAGTGTGAATTTGATACATTTAAATGAACAGCGCACTTGAGGAAGGAGAAAAAATGACAGTCGTGTGTGAGTGAATACCTCATAAAGCACTTGTCTGATATATTCAGGACTGGTGATTCCCTGTTTAAAGCTCTCAACCTTCAAGAGATTAAAATCGCGAATTGATGGTGTAAATATAAAATGAAATCTTTCCTGAACCTTAGCTACTATTATTTCCAAAAGGGGGGGCAGAGTCTTCTGATCTTGTGGAGAGTGTTGCCTGACGGAATCTGCATAGAATCACAGGGACTCCTGCTTTAAATCACGCCTCTCCTGTAGCGCTGGAGGATCGTGGTGTTTGCTGCATGCAATCTTTTCTGTATAAGTGCAGTCGATGTCTGCTTCCACTATAATGAGTATTAAACCCGAATGCCTGTCCCTCCCTTTGCTGGGCAGGTCTCTCTCCTGTCACTAACTCAAGCTGTGAGTTACAAAGTGTTGCAATTTGCATAACATACCTCTGCAAAAGAATGGAAATGTTCACTGGCTGGAGGCTAGCAGTGAGAGTGTTTACCATACTGACCTGTCCGCTCCCAACGCTCACATGGCTCTGGGCTGCTCAACGTCCCCCTCCCGGCCCGCCCCAGCATCAGCAGTCAACTGAAGAGCCTCTCCGCCCCCACCCTTTGGAACTCCATCCCACAGTCCCTTCACCTTGCTCCCTCCTTTGTTCCTTCAAGGCCTGTCTCAAGATCCTCCTCTTCAACCGTGGCTTCGGTCGCCCTCCTCCTCCTCTCCCTTCCCTCCACCCCTCCTGATCCCAACCCCCAGCTCGAGTCCAAAACCTGGGGACATCTTTGTAATTTATTGTTGTTGGTAGTACAAGCTTGGACACGTGATCTGAGAAGAGCACTGTCCTCAATACTGCTGCTGTTATGTTCTTTCAGCTGGTGACTTTCCAAGAACATAGGAGATTGAGTGTCTGCAGCCAATACTGCATCACACTTGCTGCAGGACTTGGTGTTTCTCTTCCCTGTGTTACATTGATTTTAAATATGAATTTCCCATTCTCTTGGCTGCTAGCTTACCCCATCCTTGTATATTAGAATCCATGATGGTTTGTGGGACACTGCTGTGCACAATTGGCTGCCGCATTTCACCCACAAAATGTACAGTCAGTTCACTTTACAGTGTATTCTGTGAAGCGCTTTGAGATGTCTCAATGACGAGATACGGCTCTATATCAAATACAAGGGTTATTATTATTATATTTCAATCAGATCATCCTTTTTAAAGAAATCAAACTTGCGCAATGTGTAGTCACACTGTGAAGCTATTGCACTTTGTTCTTGGCGTAAATATACTGTAACATACTGGAATTCACTGGAAACCCTGCATGAAGCTATATGGAGTTACCTGTAGAGTGCTTTCTACGTGTACTGTAGCTGATTGGCAGTAGTTGTGAATGTTACCATTACCAAAGCTGAAGCTTGAAGCCTACGTTTCGGTTTGTATTGTGTCGTGATGCTGGTGTTTGATCTTTGTTTATTGCACTGTAGATGTCTGTATTGCAAACAGGATTTCAGCATCAAAATAAAAATTGTAAATGTCCAGTGTTGCAGTTTATTCTGAGTGCCATCTGGCTCCGTTCTTTCTCTCATTGTTCTGATGCACATCAGTTTACACCAGCTAGCCGAGCCTCTGTGTACAGTCAAACCGATCGTACAACCACCCTGGAACAACCCAACAGATTTTACATAATAAACCTCTATTCAGCAACCACCTGTCTTAACGCAACCAGTGGCCACTCTTTTACACCAAGTGCCTTTGCACTGCCACTCTTTCCGCGGTCAGTTCTTTATTAATTCATTGAGATAAATTCACAAAGGAGATCACAGACTTCATCAGCAAACAGTAACATCTTGTGGTTGTAATGTCTTTAATGTAGAATTCTCCAAATACATGGAAAAAGGTGCACTCAGTTGTATTTTTTGTGTGGACATTTTGGTATTGTAGAGTTTATGGGTTTGTGCGTGCACTGTATTTTTCTATACACTTAGAAATTCTACACATATCAATGAACGCACATTCAGAGGCCACCCCCATATAAAGGCCACTTTAGCCCCTCAGAGATTGTTGAAGCAGATTTGACTGCATTTCACCTCCAGTGTGAACAAACCAAAACAGTCCCGGTTTCAGTCCCTGTGCTGAGTTAGTTGGTTTCAGCTGAGGTGCTGGTAGGACACACACACAAAGAGTTTCCCAGCTTTAGATCAATTAAGATTTTTAAGTGGCCACTTAATCTTGGTCAGCCTGTTGTCTGACACACACCCAAACCAATCACCATGTTTAATAGTATCCTAACCAGACTTAAAGTTCCACGTATGTACACCAACTGTTGTTTCACCTCATTCGGCAGGGTTTTAAGCACAAATGGCAAAAGCCAAGGCTCGAAGATCCCAGAGTGTGCATTGGGGTACTCTAAACAGTGACTGGTAAGGTTTCTACTGCTTGTTCAGTTATGATGATCCTAATCATTGTATTAGGGCTTTGGCTTTTAGGATTATATGGTTCCTGATACTTAACCTGCCCCAGAGGGAAGAATGGCCATTCCTTGGGGGGGGGGGTTGGTGGGAATCACTGAATTTTCAGGTGTTGTCCTTTAGATAAGATATTAAATGCAGGTTGTTTCCCTGATCAGATGGCTGTTTAAAGATCCTACTATCAGAAAAGAGAGTAGGTGTCCCTGCCATCAAACCGCCAATAACAAATTCCATTTGTAAAACACTTTTCATGTCGGGAGGATGTCCTAAGGCCTGGACATTCAGGGATTTAGACCCAGCAGGGGTTTGGGATCAGGAGGACAGGTGAGGGTAGGAGGGTGGCCGAAGGTGCAGTCGAAGAGGAGGGTTTTGAAATGTGTCTTGAAGGAGGCAAAGGAGGGAGCTAGCAAAGGGACTGTGGGGTGAAGTTCCAAAGCGTGGAGGCAGAGAGGCTGAAGGCCAAATAAAATGGTCATTCACTTTGTCGTTGTTTGTGGGACTTTGCTGTGTGTACATTGGCTGCAAAAATACAGCCATCAGTCATACTGACTGCAATTCCCTGTGAATTGCTTTGAAGTGTGTCAGTGTTGCACAGTGATATCAGTAAAGATCATTACTGACAATGAAATGGACTGGGACAGGTTATGGATGGTGGTAAGTGGTGCTTCCCAGGGCTCAGGATTCTCTCGCTGTTTGGACCGGATCCCCCTCCGACAGACGCACTCTTTATTGTGGTTGTATAGGCTGCGGGTTCAAAGGGGGTAAAAAGCCCAGATCAGTTCTTTCATTTGGGCCGAAAGCAGGTAAAACAGTCATTACGGTGTTTATTGCCACACCACAGGTTGTGTTGTATAATTAAATCTCATTTCAACAGAAAATAATCTGTTAACCCCCTGATCTCATCCTCACCCGAAGTCCTCCTTTATGGCACTTGTTCCTGCACTTAATAGACAGCATTTCCTCACTGAAGATCTCAAAGGCAATTGCCATTAAACATAATGATTGTGTATTTGTAGGGAGACATGACACCCATTTTGCACATGACAAGCTGTCTAAAAAGGCATGATCAATTCATTTGGATTTTTTTTTGGTCAGCACACTAGGATAAACTCCCTGATCATTTTTAGGAAGCTCTTTGATGTTCTCCTTAAAATGGTGATGGGATTTGGCTTCACATCTCATTATTAGGATGGCACCTCCGGCAATGCAGCACTCAGCACTGTCAGCCTGGACTATCAGCTCAAAGTCCTGATGTGGGACTTTGACCCAGCACAGTGCATTATAGCACAGAGATGTGCAATTCAGCTCATCAGGTTTACACCAGTATCCCTGCTATCAACCAGCGTGAGTCACCTAATGGAATGCCACTCTCCTCTTCACTGTTTGCCCCTTCAATATTAGCCAGATATTATAAGTTCACTTTGAAAAGAATTTGAACACTGCCTCAATAAGGCTTTGTGGCAGAGAGTTCCCCATTCCAATTCCCTCTGTGTCAAAGCAGATGCTAACCTCGCCTTATAACATATATTACTATATTATAATAACCTCTCAAGTCACTTCATAACCTAACTGCAGTGAAAACAGCTCTAGCTTCTCAGTTGTCTTTTAGAACCGTAGGGTAGCG